TTTTGACAGCTGTTACTTGATCACAACATTGGTGTGCAATCAGCTTTGTGCTTGGCTCCCAAGCTAGCTTGAAAGTGTGAGAGTAAACATTGGTTTCCCTGTGGTGCGGACAGGGGCGGTCGGTCGGTGGTTGGTCGGTCAGTGTACGGTCACGTAATTACCGAATTTTCTGGGATGGTTAGGGAGCTCCGCTATTAATTGAATTATAAATAACTAACACAAAGGCCATTTCCACTTGATATTCAATAACGACTTTACAAGGTTGCTAAAAACTGAAAGGTGAGAAAAATCTCAAACGTAACTAAAATATATGAAGTTACCGCATAAAAACATAAGAAAGGAATGCAAGTTCTTAGGGAGGTGATCACTTTAAAATGAATTAGGATTTTGGTTTTTCTTTAGGCCTCCCCGCGCTTTGTAAAACGCGCAATCGTTAGAGGTGTGGACCTAATGAGCATCGCCCTTTCCTATCGGTACTTATACCAAATATAGTCCAAAGAGTTAAGTATTTTTTCCACGCATCACCCCTTGCGCTTCCCTAGTGAAGCCTTACTGGAGAACAAATTTACAGGAAGAAATCTCTTGGACCTCACCATGGTAGAAAATTACCTCAGACAGCCTAGAGGAAACAGCATGCATCAGCTCTTCTCTTCCTTTCCAAGAAAAGATCATTGTCTCTTGTAAAAAACTCTTCTGGAAACTCGTACTCGTCAATTGGAACGCCAATGTTCTTTGTGAGCTTGTAGGCTGACTGTACCTCATACAATTCTTCAAACTTCCTGTGTGGGTTAATAAGACGAAGGAATTCCGTAATTACCCGTTCAGCTACGTCACAAATGCATTGCCAAACCCCACTTTTTCTTCCTTTTTCATCCTGGTACAGACAGTGAATTTTATCTGCAATTTGAACACTGAGGAAAGCGCAAGCGTTGCTTCCATCAATATCGGGTAGGAGAATTCAGGAAAATTGCTATCATTTGCTGCAAGTTGGGCTACGTTACAGTCAAAAACCTCCCTAC